AAAGTTGCAGCTAACGCACACCCTTCCATACAAAGTTGTAATCAGTTTTCAGCTCTTCCATCTGAAACCATAATCATTCGATTCTATGACAAAAAATATTTTTACAAATTTTCAACAGATCCCTGTACTCCTCCAGGAGGTCGGATGAGATCGAAAAATTTTTTCTACGTTTAAGAACGAACTAACTATGCTAAACGGTGTAGTATACTAATCTTATTTTTTCTAAACTAAAATTTTTGCGAATCGATGATATCTAGTATTGGTCACGTGTCGTTTATTTTCATGATTTTCACTACCATATAGATAATGTTAACTACTTTTCGGATCGAGCATACCATTCTTTTTCAAAAAGTTCTTTCCAGTTTTGTATAGAATTAAAAGTTACATGACATATTCGAGATTCAGCTTGCGGTCTCCTTATTTGGAAAGATTAGATCAAATATACTGTGTAAAATAGAGTAGAAAAAAATGAAAAAATGACGTCACTTGCCATACTTGTTGATGCTTGTGGCTCCAAAAAAAGAATACCATCCAATACTTTAAATATCCAGTATGATTCACCTATCTATGGGCTATCTTTGAGAGTATTCGTATAAAGATCCGAGGCATGAGACGGAGTTGTTTGATCGAGAAATTTTTGGTATTTTTTATATTGAAAATGTGTACGAGTAGGAAAGTCGTCTCTGACTAACTTTTCGAAGGAAAGGTATTAGAAGCTAGCATTTTCAAGTTAATAGCTTTGAACCTTGATCTTTCGAATGAGCATAAAAAAAACCAAAAATAACTTTTATCGAATGCTTCGATTCCTCGATGCTGCCATAGATGCTCTCTTAAAGCGTATAGCTATGTCGTCTTTACTAATTTTGATGTAAGCTGGAGTCCACTTTCGTTGAAAGATATTATATTATTATGAATTGTTAATTAAAATGCAATAATACGAAAATAAGAAGACTCATTATGCTATTAGTATTCAATTGATATGAATTGCTAATGGTAATTGCACGTACAGAAATCAAAAAATCTTTTGTAATACGTATTTTACAATGTTATAATTTTATTGAATGGCAAAAAAGAAGTATTATATTCTTTGGAAATATTTCTTAATTTTAGGATATATGATTGAATAGTCAATTATAATTCGTTTTAAATAAGATTCATGGTATATTGAACTGATCGATATAAATGATTGGATTTATTCGAGAAAAATGACTTCATAGCAAGTTCTATTTCCTGTAAAGAAAAATGTATTTATAATTTACTGTTTCTTTTACATGGACTTTTATGGAAGTAGGCATATTTTCAATTCTAGAAACATATTCTTAATTTGCAAAACTATTGTGCAATGAAAAACGCCATTCCTTTCCGGAACTCTGTTTATAATGGAATTAGCTGGTAAGAATATTAAACGTACATAGTAAGCTTTTCTTTAGTGGTTGTATCAAGACTTTTTCTTCAGTTGAACGCAGTTTTTTCATTTTAAAAATATGATTATAATTAGTGCAAAATCTTTCCTCGAGACATTTTGTTAGAAAAACTCAACAACATATTATTTACAGTAACTGATGTCACGCCCACTATTGGTTTTGACAAACGTCAATATTCTCAATTTTTCATGTACAATAGTAACAGGAATATTGTACGACAGCTTAGTCGTCTGATTAACAACTAGATGTAACACGTGTTATTACTGTAAACCGTAATACTATTGAATTCACTGCAATTTCTATTTTGGAACTTCAGCTTTTTTGTTTTGTAGAACTATTCATGTAAAAAAAAGCGAACTAAAAGTCACTTTTAATAGTAATAAAGTAAAATAAAGTAACTTCTCTTACTATTTTTCATTTTTTATAGTACTTTCGGATCATTTTCTCACTTTCTATAGTACTTTATCATGCTTCTCTTACTTTCAAAAGTACTTATCAGTACTTTTTAGTCAAAAAGCGTGAAAAGTACTTTAAAAGGTTCACTTATAAATACTTTGCCCTGCGTAAAACCTACTATTGAAAGTACTTAGTAGTCCCTTTTTGGGTAACAGGTTTTACATGGATATGCTCGAGAATTATTCCTAGTGTAAATAGTGAGAAACACTTTCGACGGTTGCTATGAAGTTTTCTACTGTTTGATACACACTTGCCTCACTGACTAAACTAGTTTGTTCTAAAAAATAATTCGATACTATATAAAAATTTTAACACCTGGATAAATAAAAATATCAATCAAATGCAAATAATTAAGTCATTTCCGGTTAAGTTAAATTTGTGATTAGTACACGTGTACCCTAATATACACACTATTGGGCGTCTAATAGTAATTATATAATTTTCATGAATAGATATATCATAGAGAAGAAATGTTTTATAAATTTTATTTTAGCTTTCAATAATCTAAAAGTAAACCATCATTTTAAGCACGCTATTTTATGGATTATGCCTAAAGTAACCTGATCTTGAACAGCAAAATATTTGAAATACTGATAAGAGAGAACATATGGAGAAAAAAAAGTTTACATAGGAATATGTGTTGAGCAACAACTGTTGATAATTAAGATAGCAGCCTTCACTATTCACAAACTGAAGGTTAATTTTACTCAGTACTAAAATGATTATATAGAAAAGTGAAAATCTTATCGTAAAAATATGAAATTCATATGGTTTGCCCTTGTCAAATCTAGTCTAATATTATATTTAATTTCTAGTTCAAGTTCATAAATAACAAGTATTATATTGCAATGTAAATTCTTTTCAACATTATGAGATCAAGTCAAGTGGATATTTGCAAATATATTTATCTTACATAGCCATATATGTCATTTTCATTAGTTACTATTCAATATGTCTACAGTAGATAAATTTGATATAGCATTTTCAAAATGTATCTGAATAGTAGTACTTGTAAATATCAAATATTTAACTTAAACAAAGAAATCAAGCATACAACCGGCAATCATATGCATCAATAAAACATATAATTGATCTTCTATTCTCATTTTCTACATTAATTCTGTTATTCTTCAACAACAAAAAAGATCACTAGAAGTTAGTTCTTTTTTGTTTTTTGTTAGACGCATCATAATAAAATCTGCCACAGACAACCATACAAAGAAATCATACAAGCATGCTATACAAGATTGAAAGACAATCAGGAAAAAAATATTAAAATCTTCCTGTAAAATATTTTTTTTGTTGGCACGTATTACAAAGTAAACTATTTTTAAATATAGAAGCCAATATTTTTTAAAGTAAAAATATAAATAACGTATTGTCATCACCGGGGCGTGATCACTAATGTGAATTCAATAACTATTTTTTGTTTCTTCATTAGTTTCAACAGTAGGTGGTTCCGAAGTTGTTGTTTTGTGCTCAGTTTTACTTGGACGTATGACAATATAATAGAGCAAATCGGATAATGAAAGTATACCAATGACATGTTCGTCTTTATCAACAATAACCAAACGATGTACTTCAGCTTTAACAATACGTTCCATACATACTGATAATAATTCATGTTTATAACATTTTGATACAGCTTCAAAACGTTCTTTTCGATATGATAATGCTTCATTTATTGTTATATTTAAATTTCGATAACTTTTATCTGGTGCTAAACCCTAAAATGATATTTTTTTCAACAAAATTAAAATAACGAAAACAAAAAGAGATAATGTCTTGTTTTACTTACAATAACATCAAATTTCGAGTAAATATTAACTAATTTCATATTTTTATCAACGACAGGTAATGCTGATACACGATATTCCACAAAATAATTTAAGGCTTCAATCACTGTTGTATGCTCTTCGATCTAAAAAAACAAATAGCAGGTTCAATGAACTTAATAAAAATAAGAAGAACAATGATTCGGATGAATACTTACTACTTGTAGATTATTATACGTTCCAATGTTTAATTCTTCTAATGTTTTTGACATAAATGCAGGTTGTGGCCAATCATAAATCTAAATAATAAGAAAGTCATCGCCAATTTTCTTGTTAATTTATTTTCATCGAACAATCTACTCACATATAAGTAAAAAAATCTTAATATACGTTTATGTGTTAAGATAAATACAACATTATGTGTTGTTGGATCAATGATAGGTAATCGATGAACACGATTTTCTACTAAAACACGTACCGCTTCAAATAAACTAAAATTAAAAATGATTTTTTTTTAAATTAGAAGCGTTATTTTCTAAATATAAACTAATTACCTTTCATCTGGTCGAATAAATAATAAAGGTTTTTCATATTCTCGTAAAACTTCTCTCCATGTTTCAATTCTATGCTCTTCTAATTCATCAATTTTAGCATGTGGCTCTTTATAATATTTCTGTAATATAAGAATAAAATCTGTTATTGTTAATAAGCCAATAAATTTGCGTCGTTTTGTATCCCATAATGGTGCTGCACGTACACCATTGTAAACAAGAGCAAAGAAAGCTTTTTTTACACCTAATTGCGTGTCAAAAATAACTAATTTAGAACTTTTCGGCATAATATCATAACACGTATTATATTTCATAAAATGTGTATAAATTTCATCGTCACTTACTAAGAAAAACAAATTGAAAATGAATTTCAAAAAAATATAATGAGAAAATGCGTACTAAATGCTTCATCAGGGTCATGATTTGGTGGCAATGACTAGAATATAAATTATTCTTTTTAATATAGATTGATATCGAAGTATATTTATTAAGACAAACCGTTGGACGAATCCAATATGTTGGTGGTTGATCTGATGATGAACTATTTCGCGTAATAATTGTTTGTCCAGAAAATGTTTTCACTCGAGTTGTACCAATCATAGAAGTTGGACTTTGTGTTCCTAAAGAATTTAATATTTTATCAATATTTTATTCGTTAACTTAATCTTACCACTTCTGTTCGGATCTTGAAAAAGAGACTAAAATTGAAAGCAAAAACATAAATCTTTTATGTAAATAGCATAATAACCAAATCTTAAGTAATCATAATAGCAGCAAAGAAAAAGCAAGATAGCGAGCAAGCTATATTTTTCTCATTGTCGAAAATCTTTCTCTTTCCTTTTTCTTCATAATACGGGATGTCTCTTTGGATCTATGCCAACTATCATCAAATACGACAAGCCTCCGCAAAGCACATGCAAGACATTGAACAGAAGGATAGAGATAGGACAAAAACAACAAAAGAAAAGAAGAACGAACAAGAAATTTCATGCCAAAACCTATATATAATGAATATTAATGTTTATCGAATAACCTACCATTAAATTATTTGCACCAACGGCGGCAGCAGCAACAGCAGCAGTTCCTGTTTTATTTTGTTTCTGAAGTAGACCAAATGCAGCTTGCTTTCGAAGATCATCATTACCCTTTGTCAAACGTTGATGATAGGAAATTGAAAAGCCAGTCGGTGCCGATGACATCGATGCGTAATATTGTGGATCTGATGTAGGTGTTGTCATAGTATTTGAATTCATATTTAACTTTTTTCCAGCACCACTATTTTTCGTGCTTTGACATAAAGTTGTATTAGAACTAAGACTAGTAGTTAAAACATCATCTTTTTCATCGAATTGATCAGTATCTGACAAGGAACCAGTAGAAATATTTGTGTCATCATCATTAGCATAGTCATATTCTTCTGCTTCATTGATTGCCGATCGTGGGCCATTACTTTTTGTTAAAGATGATTGATTAACAAAGTTTTGTCGTTTCTTATTTACATCTAGATCAATTGATTTGCTTGTTGTTGTTATTAATGTACCCATAGGCTTTTTTGATTTTTTCGAAGAAAATATTCTTGAAAACAGAGATTTATCAGATACTGATTGCGAATCTGTTTTTGAACGAGAACGAGTACGGTGAGTAAGAAATTCTTTCGCTGTTGACGATACTGACGTTGATGGTGTTGTTGTAGATGTTGCTGATGACGAAACTGTCGAACTTGTTACATTAAATTTTCCAGGTGGTATTCTTAATGAAGTTACAGGCGCAGCAGCATTCGCATATGGAGCAAGAGCAGCAACAACATTTCGTTGGTCAAAGTCGTCATTAGTTTCATGATGAGCACTAGCGGAAGCACCGCTACCACCACCACCACCACCACCACCACCACCACCAGGACCAGCAGTATTGTTTGTTATACGAGAAGAAACTGCAGCAGAACTGCTTAACACTGGATTTGGTTTTTTATTATTTGCATTGCTACGTGGTGATAATACAGCTTGTATTCGAGCTCGTTTTGATGTTAAATCAGCATTTATTTTACTCGATGATAGAGATCGATCTACATCACTGTGATCAAAACTACCAGTCATAGCATTAGCTTCACTCTAAATGATGTGTGGGTGTTTTTTTTTTGTTTAAAAAAAATCAAATAAAATAGACTAATTATGCATGCTTTTATCTTATGTGTTGCCTATGAGATTCTCTCTTCGAACTTACCATCTCTTGGATTTTATCAAGTAATAATGCAGTTCGTAACGGATTGGTGTTTGCTGTCATTATTTCGATATTCTCTTTTTTTCTTCTTGTTGTACGCAGAGAATAAAGGAATATATTGCTTACGTTTATTCGATAGAAATACTGTATTGCTACTGCCGCGTGCTTTTTTCTTTCTTGAGAATAAAAAAAACGCAGTGTATGTAGCGTCGGCTCTTACGACAAGAAAGAAAAAACGAAGAGAAAGAAATATGATGTAATTATGTTTATTTCCTTTTTTCTCGTCTAGAAGGCTTGCTTAGATATGCGGAATACATATTTTACTGTTCTCGATGTCGATACTTTTACACGAAAATATTCAGCCATAACAACACGAGATACACACCCTTGCCACATCGGATTTCGTCATTAGTAAACGTTCAATAGTATATTATTTAGCAAAAAAATTATCGCTTTTTTTCTTGTTTTATGTCGAAAAATATAGTTTATAGCACATGCAGGAAAACATTATAGACTATGGGGAAAAAGCCGGATGCGTTTTTTTCCTCTTTCGGCTTTAATACTTCTACATTTATCGATGCGGCGTCTTGTTTTTCTGTCGTGTATATAGACGACGGCAAATAACATTCTTTTTCTTCTCAGATCCAAACTATGTAGTCGGTTCTGAGTGTAATTATAACAAGAATTGAAGAAAGACAATGACGAAAAAAAAACAACTCACTCGAGTAACACGCATCGTATCTAAATGTTGAATAGCGCACTGATCAAATAAGATGTTCTACCAAAAATAAATGAATACCAATGATGATCAATCTATGCTACTATCGAGTTTTATCTTGATGAGAAAAATTAGCTGACGTTGTATGTTATGTTATTAAGGGGATGCAATGTAGAAGTAAAAGAAAAGGATTGGATGTCATGTAGAAAATTAATCATGCGGAAAATAAAAGAGAAAAATCGAGAAATATTATTCATCAAAAAGTGTACTCTGAATGTTACTATTGCCTTAATGATGTTAATGAAGGTAAAAGAAGCTGTCATAATCACGAGATAATTTGAAATAACAAAAGACAGCAATATTTCTGCTCTATGAAAGAAAAAAAAGTAACTAATTGCAAGTAGTTTTATGTTTCTTTTATAGTGTTCGCATCACGAACAAATATAAAACAAGACTGGGACTATTATTTATTATAAACTAAATTATGATTCACCATAATAAAAAAATAATCTTGTGGAATGATTGAATTGAAACGATTATATTTATTTTAAATCGACTATAAAATAATATCGGTATTTTTGTTTTTTGGAGGTAATCAATCATTCAAACAAATACTTGTTAGTTTAGGGGAAAAGATTGATTGTAAATGTTTCTTCAAGTATAAAAAAAGAAATAACATTAGATTCAATGTCACCATCTAATTTATTCATCGAGTATTGAAAACAGTTATTTTCTCCAGAACAACACGAATGTAATCTTATGTTTTCATATGTGCATAATATCTGACAAGACGTTTCTAGTAGAATCTATCAAATTACGATTTCTAACAAAGTTAAATATTATTCTATAAGTTGCCCGGCTACTTCTATTTCTATTTCTTGAATATAATAAATTGTGTATTATAATATTGCATGTTATTAAAAAAGAAAATTATACACAACCGAAAAATGCTTGGAGAGCAAACGAGAATCTTCCCTAGATTTATTATTTATTAAATACTATATGACCTGATGCAAAATCTAATACAGTGAAAACTCAAATTAAAACAAAGTAAATAATTTAATAAGGTTTCTATATAAAAAAAAATATGTTGAGATTTTGTTCTCGTGTAGCATTAGAAGTTTTATTATCAATAGAAAAAATTTTGCCCTTAGTATATACTGCATAAATCAAAGTTTATCACGGTCTATGACTTTAATTCTTTTTTCTAATGAAAACAATTCTGAATATAACAACCAATAGGATTTCATATTACACGTTGATATCCTTAACATTTATTTACGAATTTACATTATTGTCAGTATAGATTGAATTTATTATCAATGGATCATTCGTTAATATTACATCTTAAATGTATAAGGTCATTTTATTTTATTACATAAACAATGATGTCTGCTATTTTCTTGAAGCTTTTTTTTCTGTCGATGATACAAGAAAAAACAATAACTGAAAACATTGCTGAGATGACTATTGTCTCAATAATAGGAATGAATTATCACAATTAATATATATATGAGAAAATTAATTACTTGTTGAACGATTAATTTAGAAAACTTTGATAAAGTGTTTTCATGCACTGAAACTACATGTAGGATCAAGAGAGATTTATGATGATAAGATAATCATACACAAAGTGTTTTACATAAATCGACCTTTTTAATCATACAGTTTTCTTGATGCTCTCTGTATGTTTTTAAACCTAAATGAGCAATTGAAAACCAAGCGACCGAGCAAGCAATATAATCTCCATAAAATAATCTCATAAAACGAAAATAAACTTGTTGTTCTGTTTTACTTGTGAATTGTCAAGTTTACCTCATATATTGTTTCGAGATCTTGTTTTTCAGGTGTTGAAAATAGGCGAGGTCGACCGTTGGCTGGAGAATTAGGAGTATTTAGTGCTGAAGTTAAAGCAAAACGTTTATCACATGTCATTGATAAAAAACTTCACCGATCGAGCTCGAGTATTCGAATGAGAAAAGCGGACCGATTATGCAAGCAGAAATTTAGCACGCAGAGCCACAAACATATGCACAGAAACCCACGTCGATTTTGCTGGTTTTATAGTGCGACAGTTGCACCTTATTCTTCTTTTTCTCTCGCTTTGGACGGCTTAAAAATTACTTCTCTCAGTCACTCAGTAAAGCGAGAAACGTCGCTTGCTGACGTCGTTGTCATCGTAGCTATCGCTGCTCCATTTATTTTTATCTCAAAAAAAAAAGAAAACCAGTAAGAAGAAGAAAAAAGAAGAAGAAGCAGCAACAGAAAAAGAAGATATCATACTAGGTGGTAATAACGGCATCGCTAAAAATATGCGCGTTGCCGTATGGTTTTCATTTGTGCAATGCACTCATTATTTGTTTTTTTCGATGCTATAACCTATATCTATGAGTACGAGAATATTAACATTAACTACTTTTCTCATTTTTTCTTCTTTTTATTCAATTTTTTTCATATTATTTTGTTCAATAAAATTTATTAAGAACTATAATTAAACTTCATCGGATATGGGAAGAAAATAATAAGATGCTAGTAAAATATAAATATTGATACGAGATCATTTAATATGCGTTATGATAGATCAATACATTTTTTTTAAATGCCTTATCTCTTCGGAGACAGATTGAAAACAAATGATGCAGTTATATTTTTATACCTCGATATTTAATATTTTATTTTACTCTTTTCTCCTGTCACTCATGGATATCTAGGGTCTCGCTTAGTTTATAATATTTTCTTTTTTCGTTCCTTTCTTGAAATTGTCAATAGTCATTATCAACCTAATAGTTGACAAAGGCTCGGTGCTAAATGAGTTTCTTTTTTCATCAAATAATAGCACACATTATTAACCACATGGAAATAAAGTAGTAAAGAAAACATAAACATCTATATATATATGTTAGCGTCCAATATCGGATTGAGCGGAAATTTAACATTAAAACGCGAATTACTCTGTACATCGGTATAGGACTCGATTTTCTACTAATGGACTTCGATGAAGCATCATCATATCAGGTAACGTAATCATCAATAAACGAATGAATTAATGGCTCGAGGAGTTATGGGCACTTTTCAATCTTGAGGGTGAGGGTATGGGTTACCCTGATAATAATCCATCAATAAGAATTTGAATTCTATACCGATGTACCGAGTAATTCACGTTTTAATGTTAAATTTCCGCTCAATCCAACATTGGACGCGTTCAATCTCGGATTCGAGATTCGCCTAGGCCAATCTGAGATTGGACGTAATCTCAGTTTGGACGCTAACATATACATACATACAAATCGATATACGTACTCCAGGAATAGTGTGAAATTCATAATTATTATCCAATATGTCTGAATATGCATTTTCTGGTTCACTTCTACGTCGTGTTCGTCGTGCACAATCAGCGATATTATTTTGATTGTGATTATGATGTGTAAAATTGAGAAACTTTCTTGTGGGTGACAAAAATAACGATATGATATGTTCTCGTAGACTATCGTGTTGCAATGTATGACGATGCATTAAGTAGCAAGAATTATTGACGTTATTATATTCTTGTTAATTGAAATCTTAATAAACTAAATCAGTTATACTGCAAAAAAAGAATAAAAGGAAAAAGTAGTAATTGAATAAGACAAATTTTCATTTTAGATTTGCATGAGATGAAAAAATAAAATTATAAGCTGAACTTTTCTCAAGGATCATAGAACGAGCTAGAAGGTCGAATAATTATTGATTTAGAAGAAAAAAAGAAATGCAGTAAAAACAATTGGGATTCTTTAAATAGCACAGGTGACGTCGATCAGTTGCATCGTCTTTATCTGCTATTTTTGTTCGATTTTTTGCTGAGCATGAAAACATTTGTATGCTGTTTCTGATTTATGAAAATAACAAGCTTTAAGAAAGAAAAACAGCAGAGAAAAGCGTGGTTGAGTTATTATTTTTTTTCTTTATTATACATTTCATTTCACAAAAATAAAAATAACAAATGAGAATGCTCCCTATATGATGATCAGTAGAATGATTTTTAATGTTATTTTGAACTAATAGTCAAGTATTGACGTAGCTGAATAAAAATAGTATATCCTAGTTGATGACATATCATCTAAACATAGAAACAACAAATGATTGATACCGTGCTATTTTTAGAGTTTATACAACTCAGTATTGACTAGCAATGAAGAAATCTATTCAATCGTTTATTGAATGCAAAGGCTATTTCAAGATTCTGTACTAAAAAATGACTCATGAAACGATGGTGACTAATGAAAAAGCAAAAGAAATTCTTCGTAAAGCATCCCATTAGAAACTATTCTCTCTTAAGACAATCATAATGTCATTTTAACTCAAAAAAAAACACATAATATCAACAGAATGGACTCTAATAACTGAATGTCATGCTACAGTAAGCTTTATCATATACAAAAGCAAGAAAAGAATCGATGAATAAAAAAAATTTGATCAAGATTCTTTTGTTGAATAAAGAACTGATAAGCCAAGCGTTGATTGATATAAATAATAGAGCCTAATGTTGTACGGCAAAATGCTGTGTTATGCTACTAAATTGACAGTAGATGGACAATTGAGTATGCTATTCGAAGACGAAATGTTACTTTAATTCATTGAGTAATTATTCTACGATTTATCGATTAATTATATATATACGCGATAACATCGATTATCAGATTGTATGCGAATAACATTTATATTCTTTCTGATTAATATTATCGAGTTAATAAAGTTATGCTGAAATCATTAAATTCTTACAATTCCATTTCTATAGAATAATTTAATTCAATGAGTAGTACCAAACGGACGATATTGATATAATTTCTACTTCATATTACTAGTGCATTCGAAAGGAAAGACAAATTTTACATTGTACTAATGATTACAGGCATTGTTGGGTGTGATTGTCAAGATAAGAAAAAGTACATGTTTCTTTACTTTCATCAAGAAATTGATTCGTTGAAAAATATTTTGTAAATACTTAAAAAAATCAATTTTCTTAGCAAACAATTGTATTTTGACCTTAATGCCAATGATTCATTCGAAATTTTAAATTAAATATCATCCTTTCAATAGCTATATCTTTAATCTTTACTGACAATATACTATGATGTGTCTGTTTTTTTTAGAGAGGAGAAATCGTACCAGAAGTCTATAATCTTATAGATAAAAGTGAAATATGGTAGACTGCGTTTGGTTTCACCTTTTACCGCATGACACTTACGTCGGTAGAGATCTTTTGTAAAAGTTTGTTAAAACCTACGCAACGGGAAAAGTCCGTATAAATTCATACTGTACTAATATCGAAAGAGTGGTTTATAAATGTATTACTTTATGAACAGACATGTCATCTGCACCCACTAAAACTCCATTACTTCTTTTTTGGCAATTATTCTTTCTATAAAACTATATAGTGCTTGCAAAATTCCTACTTTCTCAAGATTCTTATATATAAGTGGAAGTCTAGCAATTACACATCATTCAATGTTTTTTGTTGATACAAATGAAGACGATGAAAATTTCAAAAAATCTTGATTCAAAACTAAGATAATACAATCAATATTAAAATATGAAAAACAAAATAGTTGTTCGTTTTTTGAATACTTCCTTATACTTATATTGATAGTCTTCATACTAATATAGATTATAATAAGTCATGTGAGAAAAAAAGCGACATCTATCGATGAAACGTATTTTCCTTCAAACTTTCGAACGGTCCAACTTAGAAATCTGAAAGAAGTCTCACCTTGTAGAGAATTTAATTCCCTACAAGCCTCGGTTTTGTTTGAAAGGACAGAGGCGTACAAGATATCCTGTCGGCTCATTGCGCTTTTTTCAACTCAACCTATTCAAATTACATATCAATTGACAGCTCTCGTTGAAACAAGCATTTTGATACTAAATCCGTCAAGAAAAAATTTATTTCAAAATAATTATGGGCGCAAACAAAAGTTGACTATTTGACTATTTCTCTTGGAAACAATCTTTCTTTTTCGACACAAATGTATCACAAAACAACTCTTTTCATATATACCATTCGATAGGCATTTTTACGCACTACAATATACAATCATCACGAAAGCCAAACAACATTGGCCAGTTGATGATCATCGCCGAAAAACTTTCACAAACTAACATTTGTTTCATTTTTCTCCATATTTCGACGCAAAGTTTTGATGAAAATCGAGATGCGCCATTTTTCTCATATATGCCATTCGATAGACATTTTAAGCTGTGCAAAATAGGATGATTACGAAAGCCAAAAAAACACTGGGCACTTAAAGATAGCTTCGACTTGCACTATTTTTAGTGCTGATTTTGTCATTGCTTCCTACTCTGTGTTGGATTAGGACGAGAAAGACTTTAGTTATTGTAGACAATTGTGCTATATTCGGAATCAGCATACAAACTTGAATGAGTTTAACTGCATTTCAAATCTTTCGAGTAATTAAATTTTGGTCGAAAAAAATTCCCTGCACTTCTCCTCAAGGTTCGGTGAAAATATTTATTTCATTAAAACAGAATTTCGACCATATTAATGAAGTTCTAAACATATAACATGATATTAGAACTCGAAATACCACAACGTTAAAAGAAAACGAAGGAATTCTGGTGAAATTATTGTTTTCACCGACCCTTGAGGGGGAGTGCAGGGAATTTTTTCGACCAAAATTTAATTACTTGAAAGATTTGAAATGCAGTTAAACCCACCCAAGTTTATATGCTGATTCCGAATATAGCACAATTGTCTACAACAACTAAAGTCTTTCTCGCCCTAATCCAATAGAGAGTATAGGAAAAAACGACAAAATCAGCAGTCAAGAAGGTGAATGCTGCAGTAATCTTTAAGTGGCCAATGCTTTTTGGCTTTCGTAATCATCCTATTTTGTACAGCTGCAAAATGTCTATCGAATGGTACACATGAGAAAAATGGCTCATCTCGATTTTCGCCAAAAATTTTCGTCCCAATATGGAAAAACATTTTTACTAAAGATAGTTCCCTACCGTGTTTGCCCGTTGATCATTAACTGACCAATATTTTTTTACTTTACTAACCATCCTATTTTGTATAGCTTGAAAATATCTATCGACTGGCCAATATGAGAACAGTTATATTATAATATATTTGTGTAGAAAATAGGAGACGCTTTTCAAGAGAAACAGGAAAATAGTCAACTTTTGTTAGTGTCCATAAAGTTTTTTAAATTCATTTTTTTCGTGGCGGATTTAGTATCAAGATGCTTGTCTCAACGGCAGCTGTCATTTCATATATAATTTGACTATATTCAGTTGAAAGAATCGAAATGAGCCGATAGGGTATCTTATACGCTCCTGTCCTTTCAGAGGTAAGTATCCATGAAGAAAACTTATAATTGATATTAAATTTTATGTTAACAGATTCTATGCTTCCAAAGTTATTAATGTAATTAACAGATCGAAGAAATATCATGTTACATGAGAATTTTCAAAATATTTATTTGTGTCATATTTCATAGAGATAAAATTCTGGATGACGCTATTTATTTGTATCATTCAGATGTATAATATATATATATATCTAAATTGAAGAATAAATTACAGCTAACTTTAAACACGACATCAGTTGAAATTGCTGAGCATAAAATGAGAAAAACAACAGAAAAGGAATGTATGAATTGAAGAGATTAGACGGAAAAAGCAATTAGGCGGAATGTAAATTATTGTTTTTTGATTTTTTGATAGCGAAACGTATTTTAGCGTTGTTTGTTTGTCAATATTCGCACCAGATCTTCACAATTACATCTATATGAAAAACACGACTGTATGATAACAAAAGCAAAAGTTCGAATAAATTGTTTTACCGTCCATCAGCATCAATATCAGCTTCACGTGTCAACTCGTCCACTTCTTCTTCGGTAAGTCTTTCCCCTAATGATATCATTGCATGCTTCAGTTCAGCAACACTGACATAACCTGTTCCATCTTTGTCGAATACACGAAAAGCTTCACGTATATCATCTTCTGTTTCATGATTATTTGCTTTAAAATTTTGTGCAACTCGAACAAAGGTATCAAAGTCTATTTTTCGACCAACTTGTTGTTGAATTTTTTGTAGGTCAGCTTCTGATGGTGATAAACCACATGAACGAAGAACAACACCTTGATTACAATATTTTAGAAAAAAAATCAATATTTCTTTTATTATGTAAAATTTGAATTACCTAATTCTTGTGGTGCTATTATTTTATCATGATCTTTATCGAATAGTGCAAAAGCTTCCTGATAAAGACGCATTTCATCAGAATTGCTGGTCATCGCTGTATACGACTTGTGAGGTGATTAAATCTATAGATCGAAAATATAAGAGGCAAAAAGTGTTAATTATTCAAAAACGTAGCACTTTTACAAATAATAGAAAGGAATAAATCATACAAATGCAAATAGCTGAGTAATCGCTTGAGTTGACCGTTGATGAGTAAATAGGGCGTGAATTACGTAGACTTTGGATAATATTGGATATTTAACACTAGAAAAAGAACAAGAATATGTATAAATTTATTTAAAAAAAAATATAGAAAACATTTTTATCAATTTTTATCATTGAAGCAATTGGTGAAAAAACTAATTCGTGTGTAGATGTCACTAGTAATCAATGATAACGCTAACATCATTTATACTATTAATAATACTGACAATTTTCATGACACAGGGTAGTTTTATGATTGATCATTATTCTATATTATATCAATGAAATATGCTATGAGAGGATAACTAAAGAAGAATATGAAAAAAGGTGGTAATATTCAGCAGCTAGCGTTTTGAACAGTGTTCTTCTCTCAAACTGATCTCTGCATTAGAAATGTGAACTGGTTGCGTTAAGTCAAAGAGCGTTGGTAATATCAACATTTTGTATGTCTCTTATATTTTGGTTTTTCAATTTTCAGCGTGTTTCACCCGTGTAAAATATCAAAACAAGTTTATCGACAAAATCTTGTATACTTAAATCTATCTCAGATACGTTTTGACTTTATCTGTGTCCTTTTGTCTTCAAGCAACAATGTCGAAGCAATCTGACATCGAACGAATGTTGATTCTCAAGAGAACGTAAGATGTCATGGTGAGATTCCATTGCTAATAGTTTTTAATTGTGCAAACATCTTAATGTAACAATGTACATTGCACCCTAGTTTTCTTGCATGTAAGCGCATCATTCTACGATGTAAACAGTAGAAAATTAAATATTAGACTTTCTTTGATATTTCATATGAGGATCATACAAATACGACTGTTGTCAAGGCATGTTCATCGATGTTCCTTCTTTTCGCTATTTCTGCTTTATCGCGTATCAAATGGGAAAATGTTGTGATTATTACGTTGTCTGCAAACTAATACGACTTAACGATCTTTCTACCTCCATGATTCACCAGCATCTATCTAAAATATTGCTGATGATAGCATTTTCGACGTTTATATGTTGTAGTAAAGTATCATTTTATCTGTCGATGATCGTAATCTATTTTTTAAAAAGGTGTTTATGCAAATTTTTTTACAAGAAATAAAATGTATTTCTATTGTTAACTTTTGCTTTTCTAACTTCATTCAAGCAGCGTAATTTTCTGAATCAATATCTGTTGCAAACGATTCGCTTATGTCATCAATGAACAGATTGATATTTCGCTTTTTTTTATCTTAATGTTGAAACAAAATAGTTTGTAAGCAGTTCTACTAGTAATCTTTCCAAAAATTGAACTGAAGCGTCGCAAAATAGAGAAACGAACAAAAATTATGAACTGGATAATATCTTGTAATCTCGATAATCCATATTCATTGAGGCTTACTTTCATGTAAAGAAAATCTGTCTCAAAATGTAATGCATTTCATCGGAATGAGCATTGTATGTAAACTTAAACTATCACTGACTGAATTGTAGAGCCAATGAAGACGTAAATTTTTTCTAGAGATACTTTTCACCATCTATTAATTGTATTTCACTGTTCGTGCGTAAATGTTGATACATGAGACACGATTTGTTGGCAATTGTCAGTACAATAAATTTATGGACAATGCGAAAAATTCTCCGCGTAATATGAAGCATTAATAAAAAAAAATAATGGAAACATCGTTCACTCCCATCACCAACTAGTTAAAGCTAATCGAGTCGGTTTCTGCTTTATCTTAATCTAGTTCTTTTAAATGTGATTGTACCTGATATGTAATTGAAAGACCCATTTAAAGTTTAGTCAACCATAGCAAAATTCTAATCGAAAAACATTTGTTATTGTAAATGTTTTTGTGCCTTTTGGTTACTACGACCCACAAGGAACGTGACATTTGCAGTACATAAAGGTAGGCGGGAAAGTGAAGTCGTTTAAACACTACGAAATGAGACACAGCCAGACAATACAGAAAAAAAACGAACAAAGATCGACAAGTAAGTGTCAAAGAATCTGTGTGAACTATTAAAAATCTATTTCATTGAGTATTACAGCTGAATTTATCATACCATGATATGAAATCCTCGTTCTAACTGTACTAAGTAGATCGATGTATAGAACAAAACGCTTTGGTTCGTGTAAATGATCAATTTATTTTCTATCTTCATATTATCAAGTGACTGTTCTACAGTGACAGAACTAATGATAGATATCTTTAATGGAATTGCAGTAAAAGTAGTTAAGTTCTAAACTTTGACCATTGATTAATACACGGTAAATGATTATTAATTATTTTACTGAAATATGAAGCAAGAAGATTGCATCAAATCTGATCGAGTCAGCTAATTCTCTCAGTTGACGAATTCGCAACTACATTCGACTTACAATATATTACTCAACGAGTCCAGTTTTTTAGTTCAACTCTAGGCTAAGTTCTTGAACAACAAAAAACATTTTTTCAGTGAAGAACATTCTCATTTCATCAACTATGAAAGTATTCAGCCTGTTCGTATAATAGTAGTCACATACATGTCGCAATAAACTATTCTAGTTTCAAATATTTATTTAGAATCTCTAAGAAATTCGAGATAATTAATCGAACAGACCTTTCAACTTTCTTTGACTAAATAACAATCTGTTTGATTTGTGTTAACAAGTCACACAGACCGTTGCATCCGTCAAAACATTTATTTAAAGGAAACGAAAGAAATGTCAAATGAGATAAGTAGCGTGAAGCTAAAAAGAAAAGTACATGGATCGAAGAATCATAGTCTACGAAGAACTTCGACTGGCGAAATATATTTTTTATAATCAATTCAGAATGCTTAAATATTTGACAGTTGTTCATCAGATTTTTGTAAACTAAAAGTTTTGGAATTGTTATTTATATTGCATAATTCTTTTCTCAGCTATTAGATCAGAACATGATTTATATTATTTAAAAAAAAAAGATGTTCTTCTTACCTCAATATTTTACATTCGTAGAGTTACTCTATTGAAGATATTTTTCAGTGATTATTTTTGAGTTGTTAAGTAAGTAAGAAGGACCTTTCGAATGATAATAAATAATCCACACAGTCATGTTGAGCTTAACTCATCTTATAAGACAATAAATAATTCTCAATGCTGCAGCTGATTAAAGGTAACAAAACATTGTGACATATTAACTCAAATACTATAGTAGTCTACGGCTTGTCCAAACGTAACGCTGTGACATTTCGACAAACCATTTTTCAATTATCTCGAAAGGCATAAGAGCTAATAAGTTCGTTCAAACGTCATTCGACGCAGCTTATCATAATCTATTTATGCTGAAAGAATGACCTAGTTTG